TGCCTCTGTCCTCAGGGCTCTCGCTTCCACTGCCACCGTGCACTCCTCTGAGGTGACACAAGCCAGCCCCCAAAAGTCCTCAGCGCTCTCAAAAGCCCCGAGCAATAAGAAGGGAACCAACCCCCCCAAAAACCCCAGACGGGAACATATATTCTTCAGCTCCGCTCTCTGATTTTGGACTTTTCAGGCACACGTCAGTGAGGTTTTCCCTCCAGCCTTGTGGGTTAGAATGGCATTATTCTCCCCAAAGAAAGCTGAAATTACGACTTCAGTGCTGTGGCAATGGGACAGCTTGGCATGGCTTGAGTCTCTCTTGGGGCTGGTAGAGCAGAAACAGAATAAAGGGACGTTCCTTCTCCAGAGATCTCACAGTGCCAGGGATGAACGTAGGCATGGCTTCCCAGGCTTGGCAAGCACAGGAAAAAGCCTGAGCTGTGAAAACTGGCAGTGCTGAAGCCTGCAGGGGATAGGATGTTAGAGAAGGGGAGCTGTGTGCCATAGACCCTGGCAGGATAACTCACCTGAGGACACGGGCGTTTGCCTCGTGGGGAGAAGCAGCTGGTTCAGAAGGGCAGGAAAGGATGGGAACTGAGGAAGGACTTCCTAGAGCAGGTGCTGCATCTTCAGGGGACAGCTCTCTAGAGGTTTTGGCGCAGAGGAATCTTTAGGTCTGATAAAAAGTGCGTGCTCAGTGCACTGCAGCTTTTGCTGGCAGTACACTGGAATTAGGCAGAATCCTTTGCTTTTAGTTGAGCTATTTGCTGATAAAAGGTGGAGGTCTCAGGCTTGTTGAGCTGTGCCCTGAGGTACCTCCTCTGCAGCGGCTACACATGCGTTTGGGGGGCCTGGCTGGACCTGGGGGCAGTTGTTGGTGGGTTTTGGGTTTCTCACTGGGCTCCAGAACGTGTCAGGAGATGTGGGTGCTTTGTGTCCGCATCGCCCCAGCTCCTGGTCGTGGGGCCAGAGGGAGAGGTGGCGTGTGCCTCCCTGCCAGCCACTCCTGTCATCACCACAGGCTCCTGGTGGCATTCAGAGACAGGGGAACACGCCAGTTGCCCCTGTTATAACCCACTCACTGAAAGGCTTCTCTTCTGCTGCTAAAACCCCAGTGATCTCACAGAATCGTAGAGTGGTTTGGCTTGGAAGGGACCTTAAAGGTCGTATCCTGCTGCACAATTTTCTTTACTCACTTTTTAGGCAGTGTTAATTCCAGATTTATTGTTATACTCGTCTTTAGTAAAATTCTTTCCAAGACATGGATTGTTTTAGGCCAGCAGCTCTAAAGAGCACTGCAGCCTGGTTAAAAGTGTAAATGATCTCTGGAATGGAGTAACGGGCTGGGTAAGGAAGAAGGACTAGGGGAATACTGAAGTGCTAAGGGAGCATTTCATGCAGCCCCAAATACAAAGACAGCCCAAATAACATCTGGAGAGACTGGTAGAGTCGGCATGCCTGGGAAAATGGGAAACAGGGTCTTCTAAAGAAGGGGGGAACAGAGAGAGTTCCTGGTGGGGCCCAGAAAACTCACTTTTGGCCTGCTGTGATGTCTGCCTGAGTTTTTTTTTTTTAGGATCTAGGCAGCAGTCACTGACTTTTGTTTGTGAAAACAGGTTGTCAGGTGACAGGAACCTTTTATGCTTGTGCCCCTCCTGAGTCCCAGGCTCCTGGCATCCCGATTGAGCCAAGCATAAGGTCTGGTGAAGCCCTCGCCCTGTCAGGTAAGGTCCACAACCCCCCGGGCTCTCTGGGGAGCATGACAAGAGACTCCTGCTTCTGACTTGCCTTGGCACCATCTCTCCATTCTGATGAAAAGAAAAGAGCAGAAAAAAAAAAGAAACCTCTTTAATGAATGAATTTGGAGTATGGGGAGTATTTGGAGGATGCCTCTGTTCTGCAGGATACTTAAGGACTTGCAGCCCCAGCTCCAGGGGTTTCCTGGCGCATGGGTGGCTTCTGTGAGCGCACAAATCCGGCAAAAAAGAAACCTCTTTAATGAATGAATTTGGAGTATGGGCTTAAGCCTCTGTTCTGCAGGATACTTAAGGACTTACAGCCCCGGCTCCAGGGGTTTCCTGGCGCATGGGTGGCTTCAGTGAGCCACCAAATCAGGCCTTCCCCATGGGAATTTGGAAATTTTGGGGGGTTTGGTGACTTTCAGCTCATTTTTTTTGGTTATGTCAGCCAGGTTGGCAGATACCCAGATGCTGGGGGACTTTCTGAATGACTCTGGGAAGCGGTGTGGGAATGTGTCCCCAAAGAAACAACAGATAAGCCTGTAACGTGATGCTCGGCAGGTTTCCTCAGTGGGATCCTTCTCCTGGGCCAGTAGATAGAACAAAGGGGTGTGCTTGTGCATGGGTGTAGGTGTAAATACATACCCTGCACACAGACACACGTTGTGTGTGTATATTCTGTGCTGTGGGAGTTGGTAGGGCTCAGCCAGCTTGGCCGAGTGGCCGCCTGAAAGCAAGGCTGGGGATTTTGGGAGCAGCCCTGCTGGAGCTGGAGCCAGGAGCCCGGTGCAGGTTTGCAGGTCCCTGTGCAGGAGCCTCTTTGTGCAGACTCTGGGGAGCAGCACAGTTACTTCCTGATTACATCTGAGGAAGTGCCCCGAGCCCGCGGGTTCGGTTGTGATGCAGACCTGGAAAGTGTGACCAACAAGAACCTTTGGTGCACAGGCTTTTAAATGGAAACGTGAAGTTTGTGGGATGTTAGTTCCTACCAAATCCCCTCATCAGTAACCCTTATAACAAAACCAGAGAGTGTTAATACTACCATGCCCCAAAAGTTTTAGTATTTATATTCTTGATGTGATTTTTGTTGATGTGAGCCTGTCATCTGGGTGGGGGTGACCACCAGGCTCAGAAATCCCAGACAGACTTGTCTCTTGGTCTTAGCACAGCCCCAAGACATAAAACTTTCATACTAAGGTGTTACAGTGACTATTTTTTTGTTGTTTTTTTCCTCCTTGTAGACTGTCGACTCCACATCTGCTTATATTACCGTGAGATACTGGTAAAGGAGGTGACAACTTCTAGTCCTGAAGGTTGTAGGATATCCCATGGCCAAAGTTACGAGGTCAGCAGCCTGGAGCAAGTTATCTTCCCTTACCCAGAGGACAACGGCCAGAGGAAGAACATAGAGAAGCTGCTGAACAACCGGGAGCGAGGAGTAATACTGTGGATGGCCCCTGATGGCCTCTATGCCAAGAGACTTTGCCAGAGCAGGATCTACTGGGACGGGCCCCTGGCCCTCTGCAGTGACCGGCCCAACAAGCTGGAGCGGGACCAGACCTGCAAGCTCTTTGACACCCAGCAGTTCTTGGCAGGTAATTCCCCACCATGGCTTTGGCAGCGTTCCTAAGGTGCCACCTCCTTGCCTTCCACATCAGCTCGATGGGTATGGTCTTTTCCTGCTGCAGTAAGAATGACAGTAAGAATTTCCCCTCAATTCTTCTGGGCGAGAGCAGTCAAGGGGTGGCTGAACAGTCCTGCCAAATTCTGCTCCCCGTGCACGTCCAGTCCCCTCCACAAACCTGCAGGAGCCAACTGATGCTTGGCTACTGACACCCAAACCCCCACGTCTCTTTTGGCAGCCTAAGGAGGAACCTAACAAAAGAGTCCTTTCCCCAAATTGAGTGACAGAGGAAGGTGGATCCTGATCTTGGATCTGCCAAGTCCTGGGCAGGTCTGTGGTCTGCACTCATGGGTCACCCAGGCAAGCCTGAGATGTTGCTCAGAGCATGCAGACACCAGCATGAATTCCAGTAGACAGCCTCCTCCTCAGCCTGTGCCAGGGTTTAGAAGCTGTCTGGGGGCTGAAGAGGATCTCACAAGCTCTGGAGTTTCAGGGTTGTCTGGTACTCTGGCCAAGGAGAAGTGTTACCTCTCCAGGGAAGGTCTCAATTGGCACAGAGTGGTACAAAGGTGGCAAGGGCATGATTCAGGTCGGTGCCTTCTTCCAGCCCATGGAGGGGAAAGGTAGAGCCCCTACACTGCTTCCCAGCACTCCTGGGAGGCTGGAGGGAGGAAAGCTGTCCACCCAGGGAAGCTGGTGGGAGCCAGTCATCCCAGAGGACAGCTTGGGCAGCAGGAATAC